TGGCAGCAGTTATCACAGTTACACAGCACGCATGGTTACCGATCGACATGCGGCCGAATATAATATGCGCCACAAGAATCGAGGAATGGCATTGATTTTCAATCATGAAAACTTTGAGGTCCCCACGTTGAAGTCACGCGCAGGCACCAATGTCGACTGTGATAATTTGGCCCGTGTACTTAAACAACTGGATTTTGATGTGAAAGTATTTAAAGATTGCAACTTAAAGCAATTAAAACAACATGTAGAATGGGCGGGGCAGCAAGACCACAAGGACAACGATTGCATTTTGATTGCTATACTCTCACATGGGGAACTTGGTTATATTTATGCGAAGGATGTGCAATACAAATTGGATCAAATATGGGCTTACTTTACACCGCAGCATTGCCCAAGTTTGGGAGGAAAGCCTAAGCTGTTCTTCATACAAGCTTGCCAAGGTGATCGCCTCGATCCAGGTGTAACAATGAAGCGAGCTGGTCGTACCGAAACTGACGGCGAATCATCAATGAGTTATAAAATCCCTTTGCACGCTGATTTTTTGATTGCCTATTCTACTATACCGGGATTCTATTCATGGCGCAATACTACACGAGGCTCTTGGTTTATGCAATCTCTCTGTGCCGAATTGGCAGCGAATGGTAAACGCTTAGATATACTCACACTGCTAACATTCGTGTGCCAACGAGTTGCAGTTGACTTCGAGTCTTGCACTCCGGACAATCCTGAAATGCATCAACAAAAACAGATTCCATGCATTACTACAATGCTGACACGAATTTTGCGTTTTAGTGATAAAACGGCACTGCGATAAGTCCAATAGTTTACTGAAAAGTAAAACCATCCATGGTGAATATTTTGGAAGCGTTGACAAAGCTTCAGATTTTAGTTCAAACAATTATTTTCTCATCTAAGATTAAAATTTTACTCATTTTATAAAAACAGATTTTGACGACGAACTTTTGGTATTTTTTTAATAAACAGTATCTCAACATTTAAGAAAATAAATACATATGCATGTATTTGCGTTTATATACGCATGTAATTTCTAGTGAACGTAGCGGTCCCTGAACTAATCATTTGGGCGACATTCCAAACGAATTAGATATCCAACGAAATAAGCCACTTTCCAAGTACATATTAAGAATTTTTATATGCTTTTATACACGTTTGACTTGCATATACATTTTATTCAAATTTTAAATGTTCTACTATACATAGTATGTAATCTTTTTGTCGCAAAATCATGCATATAGACATAAGATAGACTGCCATGTTTGTAAGCTCCAATATACATAAATAAAATAATTCGCACGAAAAAATGTTGTGATCTTTTTTAGAGCAGAAAATTCCTTAAATGCTTTGCAAAATAACCTCGAGATATTTCCGTTTATGGGAACGATACAGCATTCTGTAGTTTCTCACATAATTGGATGACAATGACTTAAATGCAATAGTGTGCGGTCACCAAGTTTACACAGCAATCTCATTTCAAGCGATTTCGCTACCACACATTTGAGCTGTAATTAATAAGTATGTATTCTACTGACGACACCACATGCTCTTTCAAATAAAACGCCTAGTTAGCTGCTCCAATTCGTTATGGGATTAAACGTAAATATTTATTATCTACTTCCAATAGACTACACACGAATTCGGAAACATAAAGATTGCTTTAGAGGTTTTAAAATTTCATTAATTTATCTAAGAATTTCGGGAATAAAAAAAAAATTAAAATCAGAAAAATATATTTTATAAATGCACTTTAAACCTGCTGTTATATCATTTAACAACATCTGTGTTTAGATGTGGCCGCCTTCTTTCAGTTTGGCGACGAGTGCGTCTACATCAGGTACCAAAGCACCAGACTGGCGCACAGGCGGCTCCTCAACAGAAACAATCTCGATGCGTGGTGTTGTATCGACTCCCAAATCCTTTGGCGTGGTTTTCTTTAATGGCTTCTTCTTTGACTTCATGATATTTGGCAACGTTGCATAACGTGGTGTATTCAGGCGCAAATCGGCGCTCAGCACTGCTGGGATCTTAGTTTTAATAGTCTCTAGACCACCATCGATTTCACGTGTGATAGTCAAGCCACCATCTGTCTTTTCTACTTTATTACAGAAAGTACCCTGCGGCCAATCTAAGACGGCAGCGGTCATTTGTGCTGTCTGGTTACTATCATCATCAATGGCCTGCTTGCCAAGAATTACCAAATCGGCTTTCTCGTCTAATGCCAATTTCGCTAAAATCTTTGAGACATGAATGGGTTGCAGTAAATCGTATTCCTTGCCAGACACTTCAACATGTACGCCACGATCAGCCCCCATCGCCAGCGCAGTACGTATCACTTCCTGAGATTGTGTTGGGCCAACTGAGACCGCTATGACTTCAGCGGCGATCTTCTTTTCCTTCAGTTTGATGGCCTCTTCGACAGCGATTTCATCGAAAGGGTTCATTGAGTGCTTAACACCTTCAGTAACCACACCAGTCTTATCAGGTTTAACACGTACCTAGAAAACATCGTATTAGAATATATGTATAAAGGTCATAAAAGTCGCAGCAGGGAGCAGATAAATCTCAAAGCGGGTGCTGCGCTGTTGATTATGCAAAAGGCTACAAATTCGTAGATAAGTGCAACAAAAAAAGCGAATATTTCTCGTATATCGTACCTTAACGGCATAATCGATCACACGTTTAACACCAACGAGTACACGAGCCATATTTTAGTTGATATAAACAAATTTTTAATATAGGCACTCAAAAAAATAAATTGATTTAATAAAGTTTACAAAATGAACAAAAAAGATAACGCTCCCTGCAACAAGTGACAGGTCCAAAGGTTGATACAGTGCTGCCAAGCCAACCAAAGGCAAGTTAAACCAAAGAACGTAAATCTAGAAGAAGGGACAACACACACACGTTCAAAAGAAAAGGAACGGGTTGGCTTTCCTTTATGGCCGTTGGCTAAAGGGGCGGTGGGCGAAAGGTAAGTGGGCGTGGCACCTCTAAGCCACCTTTTTGGAGAGGGAATGAACCGCCATTGACACAAATGCAACCCCCGACCACATAGGTCCTATATAGTTCCGTAGGGACCCCTTAGAAAAATTGCCAAAAATCACAATTTTCATTTGCGTTTATTCGCATCAAAAATGTTAAATATTGATTTGCACAATACATTTTTATATACAAGACACTTTTATAAAACACCCAGTAACCAAAATAGACATCACTGGGGCGGCAGCCCCAGGTTTACCACACAGAAAAGGAATTCTAGTTACCTTATTCTTTCCCAAGGTCACACAGAAAGGAGAATTCTACGTAGTAAGGGTTATAATCCCTAAGCGCGGCCGAAGGCCGCCTACGCAGAAAGAAATTCTACGCAAAAATACTGTGGACGCAAGTAAAATTGCGATTTTTGCCCATTTTTCTAAGGGGTCTGTAGGGAACCATAGTGGGCCTAGGTGGTTGCATTTTTGACAATGGCGGTTGATGCCCTCTCCAAAAAGGTCGGTTGGAGGTGCCACGCCCACTCCCCCTTCGCACACCGCACCTTTAACGAACGGCCATAATGGAAAGTTTCCCCAAAGGAACCCTGCAGCAAAGAACCTAAATCTATAAGAAGAGACAACTCGTTGAAGTGTGGCGAGTGAGTCTGGAAGGTTTGCAACAAAGAACGTAAATCTATTAAATTAACCTTCTTTGCTTTGGACTTACTTTTTTTGGTAACGTTTTCTCCTTTTATAGGTTTACGTTCTTTGGCGATGCTACGTTCAAGATGTCCCGTCTTATTGATTTACGTTCTTCTTTTTCTAACACTTCATGATCACCCTGTAGGCACAGCTGTTTTGTGACACGTTTAATTCCCAAAACAAAAGGAAAATCATAAATAAATAAACCAATGGGTTCCGAAGTTGAGGCGAAAAAGCCAAAAATAAGTGAAAATGCTGGTGAAAATAATCCAAATTGTGCGCATTGGGTGCAGCGCAAGAAACGTTACTGCAAAATGACAGTCAAGGCTGGGCAAAGGTATTGCGGAGAGCACCAGCCTTCCGTTTTTTCGGAGTCATCCCAACTCGCAACCGAGGCCGATGATAACGTCCGCATCCCTTGTCCCTTGGATGCAAAACATACAGTTTTTAAGAAAAAACTACAAAAACATCTGCAAATTTGTAACGCACGAGACAAAGGCGATGCTCCAGCATATATAGAAAAGGGCATAAATTTGGGCATCACCGATGTGGTATCTACTGACTACAGCAAATTAAGGATACATGATTTACCTGATGAAGAATTCTATAAAATAGTATCAACTACAAAAGCGTTATATGCAAAATTCGTGGAAAACACCATTGAATCGATACATCACCAGCACAAGTTACTAGAAACGGAATTGGCAAATTCGGATTATGGCCCCGAGACGAGAAAGCACTTGCTACAGGCATCCGCTCTCCTAGGTATATTGGACAGTGAAAAGCAAATACAAGCAAGCACAAGCTATGTAGAATTTGGTGCAGGTAAAGGTCAGCTTGCTTACTATTTAGCACATTTGCTGGAGTCACTACCCGCTTCTCAGGTAGTGCTTGTTGACCGCATGTCGTTGCGTCACAAAAAAGATAATAAAATCGAAGATCGGTCGCTAGTGCACCGCATTCGTGCAGATATTGCTGACTTTCGCATGAGTGGCCTGAAAGAGTTGCGGAGCACACGACGCTGCGTAGCCGTTTCGAAGCATTTATGTGGTGCGGCTACAGACTTGACGTTGCGCTGTATAACGCAACCTAGATGTATTGATGAAGATAGTAAATCTCCTGGCACTGAATATGTACTTATAGCACTGTGTTGTCACCACCGCTGCGATTGGCAAGTGTACGTAGGTAAAAGTTTTTTTCAAGAGCACGGGCTGACGAGTCGAGAGTTTGCTGTGATCACCAAAATGGCAAGTTGGGCAATCTGTGGAACAGGTATGAGTCGAGAACGAAGACGCGCATTAGAGGAACAATCACAAAAGCCTGAAGAGGTGGCTGAAGCTAACTCCAAACAGCGACTGAGTTTGGCTGAGCGGGAACGCGTTGGTGACATGTGCAAACGTATTCTTGACTATGGTCGATTGCAATATTTAAGAAGCCATGGCTTTAAAGCGACGTTAAAGTATTATGTAGATCGAAATGTGACGCTGGAGAATGTCTGTCTTATTGCAAGAAAAATCGAGTAAGTACCTACTTATTTATTTTGTTTTTTGTGCAATTTTCAAAAAATAGCTTAATTTGCAGTTCCTCTGAGTGCCAAGAAGATGAAAAGGAGCCCTCCAACTACTGAAAAGATAGTTGTCTGTTTATTGAAATGTTGTAAATTGAATTAAATTAAGTTTATGTATGTATGTACATAAAAATTTGAAATGCGCCAACAAAAAGTTATGTTAAAACCTCTTGTGCAATGCCTAAATGTATGCAATGATTTCTTGCAATCACTAAACCAACTCTTTCTCAACATCTTTCGAGGTATAATTTTCATATTTTTTGCCATTTATTTATGTAGTAGTTTATTTTCAACACTACTTTTATTTACTTTCATACATAAATTATTTGTATTTGCTTCGGTATTTTCTATCTCTGACAACAACAAGAAATTGCAATTTCCGCTTTTACTTCCCTTACTTGCGGTCGCTTATGTGCAAATACAAATGAATATTAATTTGCAAAAATCCCTTCACAACGTTTTCTCAATTAATTTTTATTCGCTGAAGTGTGCGACACAACGCCCACACGAACAGGAAAAACAATAAATCGCTCGTATTCCACTGAACGAATGTATGAATGAAGGCATTCATGAATGGGAGTAGACGTTGAAAGGCAGTAGCTTAGCGGCGGGAATGTGATTAGCAGTACATGGCAATAAAAACGAAACAAAAATTGTGTTTATTAAAAAAATTGTGGGCAATTGCTGCTCCAATAAAAATTAAAAGGCACTCAATGCAAAAATGCATACATGTTTAGGTACACACATATGTTTATTATATAAGAATATTCATATATCGCATCCGGAATGACTAGGGAGGTACATATGTAGAAGTAGTGGTGATAATTTAGATTAGTGCAAGTATATGTAAAGCGCTCAAAATATGTCAATCATTGAGGTGTCTGCAATTGCCTAATTATGGGCATTAGTTGCGAGACGGCATGCCAAGGATCGAAAGTAAATTATGCGGATATTCATAATCTACCGAGCTAAATTATTACGAGTGCTTTTGAGAGACAACTGGCGATTGGCGCCGGCGTTAGTCAGTGCATATTACGGTGGGGTGCGATAAAGCCATGCGAGATAACGCCATGTGGCTCTATCTCCCATCCAATTGCGAGGTAAAGCCATATGGCATTATCACGCTTCGTATTGAGAGATAATGCCATATTTTTTTTTGTCAATTGTGAGTTAAAGCCATATGGCCTTATCTCTCACTGCAGGGGAGTGTCATAATCCCAATTTTTTTACTTGGGAATATGACACTGCAGAGGGAGTGTCATACTCCCAATTGGGATTTTGACACCTTTGAGCTGGTTTCCCTTTTACAAAATGTGCAAAAAAAAATTTGTTACTTTTTTTAACTTGGGATTTTGTCTAATTTTTATTTGGGATTATGACACCCAGCCTGCGTGTCATAGTCCCAAGTAAAAAAATTGGGATTATGACACTGCAAGGGGAGTGTCATAATCCCAATTTTTTTACTTGGGATTTTGCCAGTTGGGACTATGACATGTCACCGATTTTTCCCTTTTACAGAATGCTTACACCTTCTTGAATGCATATAGAGCAGAAAATATTCCGTAAAAGGGAAAATCACATGAGAGATAAAGCCATACGAGATAACGCCATATGGCCTTATCGCTCTTTGAAATTGGAAATAAAGCCATACAGAAATTTTGGCGCGAATATGGCTTTATCTCTCTTTGAATTGAGTGATAAGGCCATATGGCGTTATCTCGCATGGCTTTATCGCACCCCACCGCATATTACATTAGCTTGCATAAAAGATGTACTTACATACCTCAGTATTTTTATGTAAGGTATGAGGCTTCTGAGCCTGAGAGAGATATATATGTAGATATATATTAAAATGAGGTATGCACCGCGACCTAGTGATCTCCTCTTCACAATACTCCGTCGAAGCCTACACCGCTCAAGAATAGCAGCACCGCCGTCAGAGGTAGGAAGTGAACGTTCCCATGACAGTCGGGTTTACGTAACCAGAAAGACTCAGATTTATGTATGTGCATTGTTTCTGGCCAAGGACGGTCACTCCAGCATCACTCCCCAAAAACTCTTAGGGGAATTTGTATGCTGCTACAACAACAACAACAAGAGGTAGGGAGTGAATGTGCTTAAGTTATGGCCACATCCAGCCTATACTTTCCTCACGCCTTCTGCAGATGGCATCACTCGATAAAAATATATAGTGGTGTGTCTCTGGTCGAGTCGCAGAGCCGACATAGATCGCTTGACCATATTCCCAGCTTATAGAGATGCCCTGTTACTATGCAGTGTCCTGTAAGGTTACCTGTCAGTATTCTAAGTTTCTCCTTTCGGGAGGTTAATCAAGTTTAGGAATATCTTATTGATGTACCATCCCAGTAGACTCTTTGCCTGGTGCAGTCCTACTGAGCCAGGTTAGCTTAAATCCCTTACTGCATTCCTCTCCTTCCTGAGCCCTTCCTTAAGACTATTGGGGTCTACTCCCAGAAATGGCTCCGGGCCAATTGGATGGCTGTCCCGCCTATCTTGCGAGACTGTCCACCGTCTCATTACCCTCTGTTCCCAATGCTAATTGAATATTGATTTGCTACCAAGGGAATTAAGTTGTTGTTGTAGCGGCTACTAAACCCCGCCTGAGTCGGCTCATTCATCTGCGTTGTCGTCTGGTTCAGCTAAGGGGAGTTCCAGGAAGTGCGCAACTTCCACAGGTGCTGTCCATAGGGACAGGGGCGTTAGTTGGATGGGGTTTCGGGGTGCATGTGAAGAGGTGCCTTTAGTCATGTGCAAGCAATTCCTTAACAAAAAATTTATAAAATTGGTAAGTCCCTCAATGGTTGTAGTCAAGCTCTACTAGCGGTAGCCCCAGGGAGCGTGCAGCCTCGATGGAGTCTGTCCATAGGGACAGGGGCGTCAGTAGGGTGGGGTTCAGTGGGCATGCGAAGAGTTGCTGTGAGTCATGGGGCGTCTCTCTCTCTCCGCATGCCGGGCATTCGTTTAGAACATCTTCGTTTATTCTGCTCAGGTCTGAGTTCAACCTTTTGCGGTAACCAGAGCGCAGTTAGGCTATTGTGGTCCGAGTCTCCCGAGGCAGACGAAGTTCTGTTCCCTACCAGGAACTGCTTGCAGAGCATTGTGCGGTTGTATGCGCCGAGAAGGAGGGCAGACTGTCGAAGGTAGCTCCCAGGATTTTTGGGTTATTCACCGTCGGATTTGGTTCGCCATCGACGTGAATACACAGCTGCAGTCTGACCTCCTTCGTCCAGGTAGTCAATAAGGTTGCCGAGGGCTTTGTAGGGAGAAGGTTAGGTTCCTTTCTGTGAAGAAGCGCGAAAGCTCGGAAAGATAGCCGTTTACTTTCGAGCACAAGTCATCAATTCCATTCCCAGAGCAGTCGTCAGCATAAGAGACAATAGAGACTCCTTCTGGGGGTTGAGTAGGCTTTGATATATAGTAATTAAATAATGGCGGGGATAGAACACCACCCTGTGGTAACCCCTTGGTTAGCTAGTTTTGTCTCTAAAGATTACTGGCGAATGTCGACCACTCAGATAATTCGTCGACCACCTTTTGAGTCCGTGTGGGGGAAAGGAAGCCTAAACTTCTTCTTGTAGCAAGGAATGACAGACTGAGCTGGGGAAAGGTGAGTTTTCGGCCGGTAAGACTCCACCTTTGTTGGCTGATTGCCCCGACTTAAGTAGTGGAACCACTCTCTCATTTTTCCACATATGTGGAAGACAGAATGAGGACCTTGGTGGAATATGCTACTCTCTCCAGACCCTTGTCCTCACTGTTTCTGGAGATTGTGCGCCTCGCAGAGGGGGATATCCTCTTAGTTTGGGTCTTTTGCAGATCCAGAGCCTTCAAAATGGCTGCCACTGTCTGAAAACCTACTAATTATCGTGCCAGCAATGTTCATATCCACTCCAACTGGTTATGCTTACCAACATCTCATTGGCTTGTGTGTCACGCGAGCACTCAATTTGTAATTAATCGCCATTCGGTATGTCTGTCCGGATCTTTTACTAAGTTGTCTTATTTAAATGGCGCGCCAGCCTCAACAAATGCGGAAGGTCATGAATTGAAGCATTTAAGGAGCGCTGTCGCACGCCGCCGGCTTCGCCTTAGATATCACTGGTTGTATTGAGGAACTGAGAGCGCCGGTGTAAATGTTTTTTATTTTGTTGCATTCAAATGGTGCGCTTTTTAGTTTTTGCTATAAATAGCGGTTGTCTGCGCTTACCACGCGACACCACTGTCTGTCCGAGTTGATCACTGTTAAGCGCGCCACTTGAAACGTTTGCATATCGACGAACGCTTGCTTGATATACATTTTATTGCCGATATTACGTCAATGCGCCGCCCTACCCACCTTATAAGGAAATAAGAAAAAACCAACCACACCGAGAACTGTCAACAGACGCGCCAGACATCCCACCAACGAACGTCGTCCGTTCGATCACTAACGCTTTATGCGAACCGCTAATTCAGATGCCACTTTCGATTTCATTACCGCTTACATAGTAGCTGGCGCTGGCAACAATTGCTCCACAAACCACATTGCAATCGCTGTGCCAACTGCAGCGTCTCAATTAATTAGCCCATTATTTTATATTAGAATTATGCAGTTAATTTGTTAGTAAATAAATTATTCATATTTGACCAACGCCGTCACCGCCGTCACCGCTGTCGCCGCCTGCCGCCCACGACCCGCCACACTGAGATGGGATTTGGCTGTATGTGCTTCTCTTACCTGTTACACTCTGTGTCAGGGCATTAAAATTATGGTTTTTATTAATTACCTCTAAGGTGGCTAATTGGCGCACCGGTATTTCCGAGTAGCTCTGTGATTTGCAATTGCAATGGGCGGTTCGCAATTAATCGCCGCTGCCGCTTACCGTTTACCTGCACCGTTTGTCGCCATTAACACAAACGTTGAGCGGAGTGGCATTTAATCACGTGTTAAACGTTCGACTGCAACCGCCTATTAGCCCGTTACTTTTCGCCACAAACTATGTATGTACATATATCAAAGTATGATTGTGTGTGCGTTAATTATTTTTCGTTTTTTCGACCGTACAGTTCCTGCATAGCAGCCGGATGGAAGGTCATTGCCCGCTTTTGAGTGTCACTTTCATTTGGGCTTTCGCGCGCCGCCTCACGTTTTTGCGCAAACTCACCGCGCGCTTTAGCAGCCGTCCCAAAGAAAAGCCTGTTGGCCAACAGTTTATGGGCTGAGAGTGATGGTGAGGGGCGATTGTGATTACTGACCGGCCCCGTTAAGTCTGTTACTCGGGAGGAAGGTGAGCGCTGCGGGCGATCGCGATTTCACTTTCGCACGCTGCCTCACTTAAAGACTCGCCTTAGTTTTCTCCACTGCCGCCGCCGCTGGCACCTCGCGCACTTAACCACACCACACCACATATTGCATTGCGCTCGCAATTACTCTCAATTCAACTGGCTGGCAATATGTCAATTGTTGCGGTTGAGCTCCATTCACGTCGCTCAGTCTCGTCGTTTCGTTTCGAATTGCCTTTTCATTTCAATGGTATGAATGAAGCGGCACTCATTCCGGATCTTTGGACATCACTTTTTCTTGGCTGTAGTTACCATTGCAACAATGCAGGCGGTGCTATTCATTACTCCTCTGGATGTTTATCTTTTTCCAGTTTGATTTCGGTGCTATTAATGCTAGGTATTTTGATTTCTGCTTCTCTCCCATTTTTTTATTGCTGGGCGCTGATTTGTTGCAATTGCAATTGCAGCGCTCACAAGTGGCAGTGAAAGTTTTCTTGTCACGGATTAACTACTTTGGAGTGCAGTAGTTTGTTGTGTGCCTCTTGATTGCATTCGCCCGCAACGGTTACACAGATTCTTCGATTTTCGCTGCTTAGTTACTGGCGCTGCTGCTGACTGGTTTTCGTTTTCACCTACTGTCGGAGTGTGGGAAAAGCAACTTATCGCATAAATCCGCATTGAAAATTGTTGGCTGTACATAACTTTAATTGCAGTTTGGTAGGTGGATGTTTTTTGGTTTTTTTTTTTTTTTAATAAAACGCGCCAAATAAACGTGCAATCTGCGCGAACAAATTTCATTTTGTAAAAGTTTGTACTTGTGAATGGTTCTTTAATTCTGCCGACATTTTAAAAATGCATATCTCAATTTCTGATAAATTTTTTGAAAAATTTAACCATTCACGCTCCAAAGAGTATGTTAAAAGGGCGTGTTTGAAGGACTTAAACTTCCACTGCGAGGCATACATATTTACCCATTTTCAGTGCCTTCTATGAGCGCCAAAGGAGGCTTATTTTTCTAACCGGGGTTATTCTGAAGTGTCAAAATGATAAAATGCTCAAAAAACGAGTTCCCAAGTGCTTGACTCGCCTTATCTGGAAATCCTTGACATAGGAGATGATTAAACGATGCCTCCTCTTTTTTATACCGGCCACTTCTGCAGCAAAACCATTTTGGTATACGCCGTGGTTGGGACATTTTGCAGAAACAGATTGGCGCAAGGAAGAATTCCTACTTCTGATTGGTTTAGCTTAAGGACCGTTTCTTGCTAAGTCTCGCCATAAAGAGCTTCAGGCTCCACATTCTCTCGGTTAATCCATATACCGTTTGTTATGGCTGAGGCATAATGGTCAGTTTTCTTGAGACGATCGCAAATCGGGGGCAAGTCCTGCGAATGGAGACCCCCACAAACTAATTTTTCCAATTTTGAAGAGTAGATGAACATATATGCGTAGATAGTAATAAATATGCCAGCATATTTTTATTTTTTTT